CCTTCTTCTCTACTTCCTACTAGTCCAGAAAACGACCGGCGGGTCTCCGGGCTCTTCTGCTCAGCGCACCTGCTCGACACTCTTGACTTAGCTTGAGCGACTCCTTCCGCTCGGCTCCAGAGTGCCAGGATGTACAAGGCGGAGGCCACCGCGCCCGGCTCATTGCTAAAAATTAATATAACAGCAATTAATAGCAATAATAACTATTATAATATAATTAATAATTAATAACGATATTAAAAATAAATCAAATAATATAATAAGCAAATTAATGCGGGCAATATTAACTATTATCACTATCAATATATCAATCAATTAATTGATAATATTAGATAATATTAATAATAATCAATAATATAATAGCAAATTAAAATAATAGCAAATAATATAACGTCACACCATTGCTATCAACACCAGTAAGCCCCCGGCATGTCTCTGCTTGCTACATACACAGGGAAGACAGACTCCGGGACCACACCTCCTGGGCTCGAATGTCAGCCCGGCGTGGCCTCGCTGTGCAACGGAGGGCCAGTTGCTCAACCTCTCTGTGCCTCTGTCCCCCCCCACCCCCACCACCTGTAAAATGGGGGTGATCGCTGTTGGGAGGATCAGACTAGCCGATCCGTGGGAAGCCTCGAACCCCAGCGCCCGGCTCCAGCGTCCCCCGCCTGTGGGGCACGAAGGCCCGCACACGGCGCGGCTCGAGTCCGGGATCCCGGGCCCGTCCACGCTTTGCTCAGAGAGGAGGCCAGGCAGCCTGAGGTCACACAGCAGCCAGCGTTGGAACCGGGGACGCGGGACACCCCCTCCCCCAAGCCCTCCACACCCGCCTTCGTTTGTGGCGGAATCCAGACGGGAAGAAGAGTTGGCCGCAGCCCCTCGTTAGCCGCCCGCCCGGGACTCCTGGCCCGAGCCCCTGGCGGGCGCCCCGGCCGGCCCCACTCCCCCCGCGCCCGCGCCAGGCTGGGCCCAGAGGTCCCGGGAGCCGGGCCAGGCGGGGAGCAGGGCCGGGCCTGGGCAGACGCCGGCCGGGCCAGGAGACCTGTGGGCGCCCCGCTCCCGCCTCCCTCCTGAGTCCAGAGGGAAAGTAATGGGAGGCGCGCGCCCGCGGACCTGGGCGCGCACCGAGCGCGCCCAGGGTCTGGGGGCGACGTGCGATCAATCGAGGCAGCTGGGAGGCCCCTCTGCTCCGCCGGGTCCCACCTGTGCCTCTCTGAGGCCGGCGTCGGGGCTCGCGCGCCTGACCTTCCCTTCAGCCACCTCCTTGGTCCGCGCCCTTCCGTGGTGACCCCCTCGGGAGCCCCGACATCCCCATGGGGAGCTCTCCTGGACCGGGTGCGGGCTGTCCCCGTCCACGCCCCAAGCGCCATCCTCACCCCAGGCCCCCGGCGGAGGGCAAAGGACAGAAGAGGACAATACACTGACCTTCACGACGCCCACCCTCGCCTTCCCTCCCGCCCCGCTTTGCGTCGCGCAGGCGCAGAGGTCCTGGCCTCCGCCACGGCGGCTTGAGTCCCGCGCGGTGGACCCGAGGCTAGATGCTTCACCTCTCTGTGCCTTGGTTCTTCCTCTTTTCTTTCTTTTCCCCGTTCAAGACCAGCCTGAGCAAGAGCGAGACCCCCGTCTCTACTATAAATAGAAAGAAATTAATTGGGAAACTAATATATATAAAAAAAATGAGCCGGGCATGGTGGCTCGTGCCTGTAGTCCCAGCTACTCGGGAGGCTGAGGCAGGAGGATCTCTGGAGCCCAGGAATTGAGGTTGCTTGTAGTGAGGCGACGCCACGGCACTCACTCTAGCCCGGCAACAGAGCGAGACTCTGTCTCAAAAAAAAAAAAAAAAAAAAAACTTAATTACAGGCCAGGCACGGTGGCTCCCGCCTGTCATCCCAGCACTCTGGAGGTCCAGGGGAGGATAGCTTGAGCTCAGGAGTTCCAGACCAGCTGACCAAGAGCGAGACCGTTCGTCTCTACTAAAAATAGAAAGAAATTAATTGGCCAAATAAGTATACATAGAAAAAATGAGCCGGCAGGGGCGCATGCCTGTAGTCCCAGCTACTCGGGAGGCTGAGGCAGGAGGATCACTTGAGCCCAGGAGTTTGAGGTTGCTGTGAGCGAGGCTGACACCACGGCACTCACTCTAGCCCGGGCAACAAAGCAAGACTTTGTCTCAGAAGAAAACCAGCACTCGTGCCCTATAAATGTATACAACTACTGCGTGCCTATAATAATTAAAAATAAAAAATTAGGCCAGGCACACTGGCTCACGCCTGTAATTCTAGCACTCTGGGAGGCAGATGTGGGAGGATCCGTTGAGGCCAGGAGTTTCAGATCAGCCTGAGCAAGAGCAAGACCCCGCCTCTACTAAAAATAGAAAAATGAGCCAGGCACTGTGGTGCATGCCTGTAGTCCCAGCTACTCGGGAGGCTGAGGCAGGAGGATCGCTTGAGCCCAGGAGTTCGAGGCTGCAGTGAGCTGTGATGACAACCACTGAACTCTAGCCGGGGCTACAGAGTGAGACCCTGTCTCAAAATGAAAAAAAAAAAGTGCTGAGCCCTCAACGGATGTCGGCTGTTAACGTCCCCGTTTTACAGGTCAGCAAACTGAGACCCAGCCAGGCAAGCCTGGACCCGGGTGCTCAGAGAGGAAAGTCACCCCTAGCCCTGCCGGACACACGGGCCGAGGGTCTCCCAGCTGGGTTTCTGCAGCTCTGTCTGGAGAAGGCCCAGGGCCAGCCCTCCTCCTGCCCTGTAGGGCCCCACCTGGCTCTCTAACAGGCAGCCCTTGTTCAGGCGGGTGATGGATGGGGCGAGAGGCACAGGGCGGGGCGTGTTTACCCTCCGGCCGGCGGCCGGGCCCAGGCCTGGGCAGGCTGGGGGGGAAGGAGCCCCCCGCCAGAGATCGAGTTGCGATGGGCACCGAGTACGTGGTCACCTCCATCAGCGAGGATGAAATCAAACAGCTGATCCACTCAACAGACCCGACCCTGGACCCTCGCAGCGGCGGGGGTGGCCTTGGAGGGGGGACAAGTGCACACAGCGGCACGGAGAAGGACCCATCTAGGCTGGAGGAGAGGGGGCGAGGGTCAGGGTGGCCTTCTGCAGGGTCTGGGGGTTGGCGGCCAGACCTGGACAGGGGGACAGGTGCCGGTGGAGAGGGAGTGGGCCCCAGGGGGAGGGGGCCCCAGGGGGAGAGGGCCCCAGGGGAGGGGGCCCCAGGGGGAGGAGGCTGCATGGGCACAGGTGGGGTGTGTTGGGGGGAAGCAGTGGTGGGGGCAGGAGGGGGGAGGGGCAGTGCACCGGGGAGGGGCCGGAGCCCTGAGAGGGGGACAGACCCGGAGCCATAGACTCAGAGCTGGGTTTGGGTTCTACAGACCCCTCCAGCCCAACCTGGGGCTGCATGCCAAGCCCTCAACCTCCCTGGGACAGCTCCCTGCTGCGCTGTGACCTCCCTGCAGCTGGGTATGGCCCTCTGGCCTACACGGGGCCCTGAGTGTGCCCTGTCACCCCCGTGTCCTCCCTGCAGCTGGGTAGGGCCCTCTGGCCGGCACGGGGCCCTGAGTGTGCCCTGTCACCCTGTGTCCTCCCTGCAGCTGGGTAGGGCCCTCTGGCCTGCACGGGGCCCTGAGTGTGCCCTGTCACCACCATGTCCTCCCTGCAGCTGGGTAGGGCCCTCTGGCCTGCACGGGGCCCTGAGTGTGCCCTGTCACCCCCGTGTCCTCCCTGCAGCTGGGTAGGGCCCTCTGGCCTGCATGGGGCCCTGAGTGTGCCCTGTCACCCTGTGTCCTCCCTGCAGGGGTTTTCCTGGGTGGTGGGGCTGCCCCTCCAGCACACTGAGACCCGCCGAGTGTTCCCCTCTGTGTCCCCAGTATCATGGACACATGACAGAATAAGTCAATGATCCCGGCAGGGTGAATGAGGGATGGTCGTATGTACAGGTGGATCAGTGGGTGGATGGATAAGCGGATGGGTGGATCTATGGACAAGTGGGTGGATGAGTGTTGGGTGGATGGATAGAGTGATATGCAGATGGATGGATGGATGGATAAGTGGAAGGATGGATGGATGGATGGATGGATGGATAGACGGACAGATGGATAAGTGGATGGATGGATGGATGGATGGATAAGTGGATGGATGGATAGATGGATGGATAAGTGGATGGATGGATGGATGGATGGATGGATGGATGGATGGATGGATGGATGGATAAGTGGATGGATGGATAGATGGATGGATGGATGGATAATTGGATGGATGGGTGGATAAGTGGATGGATGGAAGGATGGATGGATGGATGGATAAGTGGATGGATGGGTGGATAGATGGATAAGTGGATGGATGGAAGGATGGATGGATAAGTGGATGGATGGGTGGATAAGTGGATGGATGGAAGGATGGATGGATGGATAAGTGGATGGATGGAAGGATGGATGGATGGATAAGTGGATGGATGGATAGATGGATGGATGGATAAGTGGATGAATGGATGGATGGATAGATGGATAAGTGGATGGATGGGTGGATAAGTGGATGGATGAGTGATGGGTGGATGGATGGATGGGTAAAAGGATGGGTGGATGGACAAGTGAATGGATAGATGGATGGATGGGTAAGTGGATGGGTGGATGGATGGATGGATAAGTGGATGGATGGATGGATGAACGGATGAGTGTTGGGTGGATGGATGGATGGGTATGCGAATGGGTGGATGGATGGATGGATGGATAAGTGGATGGATGGATGGACAAGTGGATGGATAGATTGACAAGTGGATGGGTAAGTGGATGGGTGGATGGATGGATGGATAAGTGGAAGGATGGATGGATGGGCGAGTGTTGGGTGGATGGATGGATGGGTATGTGGATGGGTGGATGGATGGATGGACAAGTGGATGGATGGGTGGATAGATGGATAAGTGGATGGATGGACAAGTGGGTGGATAGATGGATAAGGGGATGGATGGATGGATAAGTGGATGGACAAGTGTTGGGTGGATGGATGGATAAGTGGATGGATGGATGGACAAGTGGATGGATGGGTGGATAGATGGATAAGTGGATGGATGGACAAGTGGGTGGATAGATGGATAAGGGGATGGATGGATGGATAAGTGGATGGACGAGTGTTGGGTGGATGGACGGATAAGTGGATGGATGGATGGACAAGTGGATGGATGGGTGGATAGATGGATAAGTGGATGGATGGATAAGTGTTGGGTGGGTGGATGGATGGATAGATGGATAGATGGTTGGATGGATGGATGGATGGATGGATGGATGGATGGATAAGTGGATGGATGGATGGATGGATGGATGGATGGATGGATAAGTGGATGGATGGATGGATGGACAAGTGGATGGATGGGTGGATAGATGGATAAGTGGATGGATGGATGGATAAGTGTTGGGTGGGTGGATGGATAGATGGGTATGCAGATGGGTGGATGGATGGTTAAGTGAATGGATGGATGGGTGGATGGATGATGGGTCAAAGAGCAATGAGACCACAAAACAAGGAGCCACAGGGCCAAGGAGTGAGACTCATAACATCATGCGCTGGTGAAGGCACAGAACCGTGGAGTGCTAGGACCATGGACCACAGAGACCCACAGAGTCAGAGACCCACAGAGCACAGAACCATAGGGAGGCGGGAGCCACAGGACTCTGGGGGACTTCTGAGGTGCCACCAGGACGGACTCTCGTGGTGGACCCCAACGGGACCAGCCCCTCAGCCACACCCCCAGCTGTTGGCTGTCCCAGGAGCCACCAGGTGCGTCCTGCCCCCATCTCTGGGGCAGCCACAGGAGAGAAGGGCCGGGCCACCACGGACGCCTGCAGCCCGCCGGCCGCCAAACGCTCAGCGAGTGCCCGGGCCGGCACCAAGCAAGGTTGTCCAGGTAATGGACAACAGTGCTGGCTCCGGCCAGGCACCCCGGGACGCTGAGCGCTGGGCAGCTAGTGGGAAAGGAACGGACGAGTTACTTCTACATCCCAGTCCTTTCCAAAGCCGGCGTCCACGCAGCACGGAGAGGGGCGTGCCCCGGGCAGCGTGGCCTCCAGCCCTCGGTGCGCCAGCAAGCTGCTAAATCCACGTGCCGGGAGGCTCTGCCCAGCGCCGATTCCTCCAGACGCACCCGGGATTCACAGCTCCCCGGGGACGGCGCCGTGTGCTCAGCACACCCTGCACCTGCACCTGCACCTGCACCTGCACCTGCACCTGCACCTGCACCCGCACGCCCAGAGCCACCAACCCCTTTTATTTTATTTTATATATTTTTTTTGAGACAGAGTCTCACTCTGTCGCCCAGGCTAGAGTGAGTGCCGTGGCGTCAGCCTCACTCACAGGAACCTCCAGCTCCTGGGCTCCAGCGATCCTCCTGCCTCAGCCTCCCGAGTAGCTGGGACTACAGGCACGCGCCACCACGCCCAGCTAATTTTTTCTATATATTTTTAGTTGTCCAGCTTATTTCTTTCTATTTATAGTAGAGACGGGGTCTCGCTCTTGCTCAGGCTGGTCTCCGAAATCCTGACCTCGAGCGATCCTCCCGCCTCGGCCTCCCAGAGTGCCGGGATGACAGGCATGAGCCTCCGTGCCCAGCCCACCAGCCCATTTTAGAGAGGGGAAACTGAGGCCCAGCAGGCTGCCTCTCAGACCCCAGGGCCCAGGTGTTCGCCCCCAGGCATGGCGCAGCGCACAAGCCAGGAGCGAGGCCTGGCCTCCAGCCAGCTCAGCGTGTCTCGCTCACGGGGCTGCCGTGGGGATGCGACGTGGCCACAGCGGGCGTGCAGCTGGGACCTGGCGTGGCAGGGACTCGGCCACTGCTGTCCCCGTCCCTTCTTTGTTTTTTCTTTGTGTTGCCCAGGCTAGAGTGTCAGCGTCACTCACAGCAACCTCCAACTCCTGGGCTCGAGCGATCCTCCAGCCTCAGCCTCCCGAGTAGCTGGGACTACAGGCATGCGCCACCACGCCCGGCTAATTTTTTCTCTTTGTATCAGTTGGCTGATTAATTTCTTTCTCTTTTTAGTAGAGATGGGGTCTCGCTCTTGCTCAGGCTGGTTTCAAACTCCCGACCTCGAGCGATCCTCCTGCCTCGGCCTCCCAGAGTGCTGGGATGACAGGCGTAAGCTACCGTGCCTGGCCTTCTTTTGCTTTCCGTTGTGATAAAAAACATGTGACATAAAATGTAGCATCTCAGAATGGATTGGGGCTGCCCCCCCCCAAAAGTGCCTGGGTAAATTCCCCCAGCCCACCATGCAGCAGAAAACACTTCTCCTCTGATAGGCCCAACAAAAATCTCAGGGCTGATTCTCATTGGTCCAGCCTTAAGCCCATCACTGTGATCGGTGGACTGAAGGGCTTTGATTGGCCGGGCCAGGGACCAGAGGCGGCCTCTGGAGGTTGCAGGGCAGGCGGCTGGGCGGTGCCCGGTGTGGGCCGCTCCTGATGCAGACCGGGTACCTAGCTGGCCTCCTGAGCTCCGCTGGGTGCCAGGCAACCTTGAGCACCACAAGGAGAAACAGGCTTTGCCCGGAACGGCCTCGGCCGCCAGCTTGTTCTTTCCAAAATGCCCGTGGCGGGCGGCAGAGGTGCCAGGAGCCCTCGGGAGTGGCCTCGTCATCCCGTCACCAGTTCCAAGGCTGCTCGAGCCACGCTCACACCCCTGGGCCCCAGGTCCGAAGAGTTGAAATGGTGACGTGCAGAATCACAGGGAAGATCGTCAACATTGCCATGGCGACTGACCGAGACCCGGAGTCTGGGAGGGAAGGAGGGAGGCAGGGAGCAAATGCAAGCCCAGAGAGGGCAAGACATTAGCTCAGGGCCACACAGTCAGTGACAGGCAGGTCTGAATTCAATCCCCACCTCCATTTTTTTTTTTTTACAAATTTTAAAATCATGTTTTTAATTAATTAATTTATTATTATTTTTGAGACAGGGTGTCTCTCTGTCACTGGGCTAGAGTGCGGTGGCGTCATCATAGTTCACAGCAGCCTCAAACTCCTGGGCTCAAGCGATCCTCCTGCCTCAGCCTCCCGAGTAGCTGGGACTACAGGCATGCGTCACCACGCCCGGCTAGTTTTTTATTTTCTACATATTTTTAGTTGATCTATTAATTTCTTTCTATTTTTAGTAGAGACGAGGGGTCTCACTCTCGCTCAGGCTGCTTTCGAACTCCTGACCTTGAGCGATCCTCCCACTTCGGCCTCCCAGAGTGCTGGGATTACAGGCGTGAGCCACCGTGCCCGGCCCGCGCCTTGATTTTAAACATCAGGTTTGGCCCCAGCTGCCACTAGAAGCTTTGGGAGCGTGGGGCGTCCCGTCCGGGGCTCCGAGCAGAGTCCCGACTAGGACCCAGGGAAGTTGCTGCAGGGATAAGGGCGACTCTCCGAGGTGGGTGCTATTGCTCTGCCCATTATACAGATGAAAGACTGAGGCCCGGGATGTGACGGCCTTTGTCCCGCCAATCCTGCCCCAAACCACCTGCCTGGGAGCCCCACGGGCCGAGCAAGACCCGCCTTGGCTTGGCGCACGGGGTCCCAGGGCCCAGCCTGGGTCCTGGGCTTGATCTGCAACGTGGGTGAGATTCCAGAGCAAGGCTCTCCGCCCTGAGCCTGTGGGGGTCCCGGGGCCTGTTTTCCCGCCCGGCGCTGGGCGGAGGGGAACGCCTCGGTGTGGCTCATTATTTTTTTAACCTTTGCGGTTTCAGCCACAGACTCAGAACCGAAGCCGTCCTGCCCCCCACCCTGGCCACCCCCAGCTGGGCCACGACCGGCCGGCCGGCAGGGCCACACGGAGGGACGCCCGGCCCGCCGGGCTCCCAGACCGCACACCCGCGGGGCCGCGGCCAGCTCTCCGTCTGAACTTTCCGGCTGGGCTCGGTTTCCAGCTGGCAGGAAGGACCCAGGGTGGGGAAAACTCGGGCCCCCGCGTGTTTGCGCCCACGTCCCGGGTCCGGCCCCCGGCCCCCTGTCCCCGGTGGACACCACTCAGGACTGGACCTCGGAGGCCGCCGTCTGCCCGCAAGGCCCCTGGTCTCACCTGGCGCCCGGCCAGCGCGACCCAGACACCCCAGGGCTCCTCGGCCAAGGTGAGGTCACGCTTTCCCCCCCGCCACCCCCCAAGCCTTCCTGTCTCAGGCGGCAACCCCACCGTCCGACTGTCCGTCCACCCTGCCTTGACCCCGAGCCCTGGGCGGCGTCTGAGACTCCTCGCTCTACCTCCCTCCCAAGCACTTCAGCAGCTGTTGCTCCCGCGGCCTGCAAAACATGCAAACCCACCGCTTCCGCCCTGGCTGCGGCCCCGCCCGGCCCTGGCCCAACTGACTCCTGCCTGGCCTCCTCCCCATGGCAGCCACCGGGGATGTCTCAAGATCACACCATGTTCCTCCCCTGCTCACACACCCTCCATGGCTCCCTACTGCCCTCAGAATAAAACCCACCTCCTTTGCTGCAGCCTGCTGCACAGCCTCCTGTGATCTGACCTGGGCCTATCCCTTCAACCCATCTTCCTCTTCCTCCTTCACGCTCTTCCAGCCATGTCCTTCCTCCCTGTTCTCCGTCAGTCAAGCCCTTTCCTGCCCCGGGGCCTTTGCACGAGCAGGCCTCTCTGTCTGGAATGTTCCTCCTCCGTATCCTCGGGGCACCTTCCTGTCCTGCAGCCTTTGGCTTAAATGTCACCACCCCAAGAAGGTCTCCCCCTGACCCCTGGCCAGAAACGCGTTCACCTATTTCTTTTTTTTTTTTTTTTTTTTGAGA